CCCCAAAACCCCAAAACCCCAAAACCCCTCAATCATAATATCTTGTTTTGTATAGATAGTTAGTAACATATTATGTAAGCTTCTAATGTAATTAAAATAGAACTTGTTAGATATGTGAATGTTTGTTATCAAGGGTTTTAATATTAATGAGTAACCAGCTCCATTCACTGCAAGAAGGTTTCTGAAGGCTTCTCGGCAGTTGAGAAACTGTGTTATGTAATTAGTTAATACTGTAAATCCTTAGTGAGGTCTCTCATATTGATGTGAGTGTACTGAGAAGTCTCGAATTTGTGAGAGTCGTCTACGGTTGGCCAGAGACTTGTAAACTGGCCGAAAACAAGATCTCCGTACATAATTAAATCATCTTGAGTTGAGAACATGGCAAATACGTGGTCTCCCTCCTTGGTCTTGTCATCGTTTAATTCCTGTAAGAATGTGCTCAATCCAGAATTAGCAGCACTACCTGGGTAGAAACCATTCATTGAGTTGCAGGTGGGTAACATAGAGCCAACATATTGACAACTCACTAATCCAAGATTGGCACCGGCAATACCAATAAAGGTGTCAACTTTATCAGCGAGGGAAGGCCCGAGGTTGTAAGGGAAAAATGTTGCTTTGACATCACCACCCTTAATGACTCTTCTACCAAGAGTGACTCCCATAGAGTGACCAACTATATTGATCTTTGTTGCATTAGTGTAGGCAAGAACAGCTTCTGTGAATTTTCTAAGAAATGTCAAGTATTCCTGAGAGTGATAATTCTAAGAACTCATCAATTCATTTCCGGGACCCCAAGTTGTAATGTACAACTCAGCTTTAGTATAGCCCTGAGACAAGAAATACTCGATTGATTAAGTAAATCCATGTTGCCAGGTCCAGGAACTGGTTCCCACAGCGATGTCTGAATTTCCATGGAAGAAAATGACAGGATTATGAGTGATCTTCTCATCAGAGCTGGATTTACCTCCATAGGCTCCTCCGTCAAGATCAGTTCTTTCAAATTTGTAAGTACCGTAGCCATTTTGATTCAGCCAATTGCTAAAATCAGTGGTGAGACCTCTTTAAATATCGGCTTGTACAAATCCGACCAGTCCGAGAACTAGAAGAGCTGTGCTAGCAGGATTTAAGATAGAATTAAGCATCGATGTTATAACAAAAATATTATTGAATAAATACTTAAAAGAATCCAATATCTGACCTTTTTACAATTTTCAAACTACGGGGTTTTGGGGTTTTGGGGTTTTGGGG